GCAGCTGCTACTGCTTCTGCTGCTGCTGGTGGAAAGGGTGCACATTTTTTTTTATATCAACGAGCAATATATACGTCATGTATATGAATGACGACGCCCCCTCTTTTTTCGATCATTTATAACGTCCCACCTCTGTTCGTTATTTTTCGTTTTACTTGTACACATTCACTATGTATACGCGGCGCACACCGCTGCAGCGTAGAGGGAGCTCGCAAAGTATCGATTTCGCCATTGTACGTATATATATATGCGTTGCGTCTAAGACGGGCGAGAGACGGCTCTCTTTTGACTAATAATAATTGAGACTTCGTCGCGTCGTCACTGCTGCAGAGTGCGCGGCACGCACCCTCCAGACAACGAGAATAAGAAGCTATACGCGGTGGTGGTGGCTCGTTTTTAAATATTCATGAAGAGCAAAGTAAAATGATAGGGTTAAGATCCGTTAATTAGTTTCCTAGGTAACAGATCGTCGTTCCCCTCCGCGCAACAACAACGATGACGGTCGCCATCGACCGTCTGCTTGTCACTATTCTAATAAACACGTGCATCGTAGGACGCCGCGTACATGTTTGATAAATATTTTACACGTTGTACATATTCATTATTACGCGCACGAATATATGTACGCGAAAAATAAATTAATCGGTACATAAAATTTTATTATATATCTGTAGAACAACGAATTATTATTCGGTTAGTGTTGCCGTTAGTGGCTGAACACATTTCAATAAATTTCAGTGACGCAGAACATGGGTTTGCGCTGCTCGTCCGTAAGCTGTCGCGTGTAGGGGGGAACCGGTTGTCACTGATCGACCGCGGGCTTGGTAACTAGTATTAGAAACGGTAATAACCGCACGGAGATATGACAAGATGACTCGAGCAGAAGCCTCCTCGGGGTACGGTTGACCTTAAGCCGAGTGCACGCGCGCGCGCGGGGGTATTGCCGGCCATTAACAGCGTTGCTGCGCCGCGTACTACTGCGAGCGCATAGATCTTAATAATAGATTAACGCGAAGACAACAATAAAACAACGACGACGACTATTGGCATACATATAACGATAATATTGTTAGACCAGAGAGCAGCCTATCGTAATATTGTATACAATTTTATTCCGTTTTTTTTTCCTTCACTCATCGGTCGCGCGCACGACCCGTTGAAAAGTCATTTCAGACTAGTTTTTTGCCATCGGACGCATAACCGATAATTTCGTGTTTGCGTATACGTGTATATACGAGTACACTTATAGGTGTGTGTGTGTGTGTAGGTAAGCCGCCGTCATTGCTTGCCGCGAGTATAGTATTATTACATTACAATATCTACGTGTATCGCCTATGTTACACACGATCCTGTTGCGACTGTATAACGTTATAAAAGATGTATAAACGCGTATAAATATATAATGTTACGGTCTCGCGCGTACGCAAGATATTCGGCTCCAGGTATGCAGATTTCATTGCGATACGCCGTCGTCGTCGTCGCCGTGTAATACAATATTATAATTGCCTACGGCTACATCGTAATTCGTATGAATCTCGTAGAAAATCACGTGAACGTCAAGTAGAATAATATCAAAAAATAAGTATATATGGTGTATTTGGTTGGAATACGCGCAGCTGTTATACCAATTATAATCGACTGGGTAGTGTTTATACGACGTATCCGAATGGTCAACTGTAATGTATAACTTTCTATACATTTCGAGCGCATGTATTGGATAAATTAATCCCAATGTTTTTGGAGGAGACCCGAAACGGTTAAACGATTTTTAACAATATGTACGTACACGATATAGGTTCATAATAAATATCGTATATTAATATACATTATTTATAGGTAGGTAGTAGTCGTGTTTATGTTCGGAACAGCAGAACCCCTCCGCGAGCACAGGATATATATATAATTACTTTCACGTTTCTTCTTTGAATTTAAGACCTTTTCACATAGGTAGGTAATCGCGCGCCCACCATACCCCCGAAAACCGTACGAATGTGTATATAATTACTTTGATTCCAAAACGGTTTCTCATCTTTCGTTGTTTGTACGAGTAATATATATATTGTAATGAAATTCGAGTATCAGCGCATCGCGGTGCCGTTTGTCACTTCGAAAAGTTAATTAATATTATTATTATTATTACGACGTAGCGCAGGTATAATACCTATGCGTAAGAATATTTATTTTTCATCGTTCGCTCGCGTTTATTCCGTTCAAGTCGGGTTATGTAGGTATATTAAATACGTTTTGACTTCGGGGCGTCGATAAATTTTACCGTGGGACGAACGTGTTGAACGTGTGTGCGAGTGTAACCGATGACCGTGTGTGTACGTCCTAATAATAAAACGAGCTGTAGGTTATAATAGTTTTCAATTAAATGTTTTGGAAAAAAAATAAAAACCGAGTAGACACATATTTCGTTGAAACATCGTTCCCGGCGCGTCGTTGTTCGATCTATATTGCCGGCGAGTCCGAATCGAACGGTGTATCGTTTCGATTCGAGTGTAAAACACACATCGATAAATACGCGGTTCGTACGGTTCACTCGATCGGTCATAAATCAGGACGTGTGTGCGCTTATTATTATATTAACGCCGCGCGGCGTTGCAGTAATATTTTTCTCGCTCATTAATTCGGAACATTTTTTCGGGCCGTTGTCGTGCGTCCGGGCACTGTGCGCTCTACGTGTAGCGGCGGCAGAAGCTTTTAGCCAGATGAACTCTTACGCGCGCATTCGTGCCCCTTTGAAAAACGCGCGCGCACACGTATGGATGGATGACCTCGTCGATTATTGTTCGGTGTTACGCGCGCACGGCCGCGGTAATGTGTGCATCATATATATTTCCAGTAATAATCGTATATAGATTTGAACGCGCGCGCGCGCGCCGCCGCCGCCGCCATGTGGTCGTCGTTGCCACAAACTTTTATGGGTGTCGTAAAACCGCAATTCTCCGATCCTGAGGGATTATAAATAGTCGAAAAACCGCCACGCGAAAAGAATAGTAGGGATTAATAATGTATATATATATATATTTATATAAACGACGTGTACGCGCACATAAATATACGCGTGTAAATATAAAATCCAAGCGTAATATCGAACACCGATCTAGGGCGCGTGAGCGTATATTTGCTATACGTTTTCGACGATAACGATGAATTACGTTTTCTTTGCACAGCTCTTTTGAACGGTAGCCAATTGAACACATGTACGTCCAGCGACAAAACTCGTCTGCTCAGTATATATTTATTTTTATTTATTTTTTATTATTTTTTTTTTTTATTTTGTAAACGAATAAATAATGCGGGTTGTGTACACCGTATATTTTAACCGGAGGATTCGGTGCGAGGTATACGTACGTTTTAATTTCCACCGTTTCTTGGTGCCTCGTTTTCTTTTCCTTTTCGCGGGAGTCACGCGATCCTGTCCGTGTACGACATACGTTCTTTCTTCCCCTCCCCCCCCTATGTACACGTATAAGCTTGACATTTAAGGACACGCTTCTTTGTAAAAAAAAAAAAAAATACTCAGACTTTTCCCCCGTCCGTCGGCCACCACATGACATCAGTATGTAATATGGTTCCGGCCGTACACGCCAAGCGCATCGCCTCTAGCGACTATAGTGTTTCTTTTGCTTTTTCGCGTGTCCAATGTATAGGTAAATATATATGCTGCGTTCGTTCCCTTATATTTATTTTTTTATTGCTGTCATTATTTCGTTATTCTCGCTACTCCGGAGCTACCACAAGCTTGACCTTTAAGGCCCCTTGGACACGCGACATTTTATACTTTGGTTGCCCGATCGTTTCGTCTTTCGACCGTTTCTCTCGCCACATCCCTTCACCGCGACCGAGCGTCCCGGTATAAATTGCTATTATCGCGGTGCTGTTATTGTGTTCACGTGTATATAGCATACAAACGTATAAACGGTGCGAGAATTACTCGTTAATGGCACGTAAAAACACTATTAAGCTTCACCCGAGTATAAGGACGTTGGTTATTATATTCACCTCGTGTATAAGTGTATATTATAAAATGTATAAAATGTATAGAACTTAATATCGCAGTCATTCCGTTGTACAAATTGGAATTTATTGCTACAATTATTTAATAATATGTAATTTACAGTTATTGTTTAATGCTAACTATGAAGTATATTGAATGAAACGTCGAAAAACTTGATTATTATATTAAATGATACGAGTATGTTATAGGCAAGGTATATAATCAACCAATATCTCAGGTAATTAAAAGAAATGTGATTTACCTCCTACATTTCGAAAAATAAAATTACTCCATTTCGTTTTACGAATCTGAAATAGTAATATGAGTTTATATGTTTTTATACTGCGACGACGAACACGATGTTCTAATAAAGAATATAGTTTATCACGGCACCACCTTTCACCGTAAAAAAAAGATTTCAATCTTATAATATTTATTCTCCAAGCAAATGGTTTTTGTAATTAAAAAAAAAAAAACTCCAAATATTATTTACTAGTGCAGTTGCTGTGATCATTAGAATATTGTCGACGATCTTGGCCGATTTTTAAGTTACGGCATACAATTATATTCGTTCGTATATAGTATGTAAATCTATAACTTAAAATCTGTGCATGGATACAGTGTACGTGTGTAACAAGGAATCTCGTGTCCTTCGAGTGCTTTACTAATTAACCGATGTTTGAGTAAAGTCGTTTTAACAACCGGAAACTAGTTATAGTAAGTGTGTGTGTGTGTATTGTAACCGATGTTATGGTGTCAGAGGTTGCCGCGTGTACGCGCGCGCGCGCACACATGTATATATATATTATTACTTAATTATAGTATATACGGTTATAAGTACGATTATAGTTATACTTCTACCACCTGCTCGAGCGCGACGCAGATAAGGTATCGTGTGTGTTGTCGCTTTTGAAAATAACAATAATAATGTTGTTGTACAAAAATCGTTTCCGAAACGTTTGACACTAACGAATGCGTTTTCGATTGTTGTTTTCAGTGGGCTTCAGTAGCGTCATGGTTTCTACGACCTGAAATGGCTGGAGCCAGCGTGCCGCCGATCGTGCCGCAACCACCTCCGATGCCGATCCGACCTTCCCGGACGTCTTCGGATCCCCCGCAAATGGCCATGCCGCCCACCATATGCACCGTGAGTACACGTAGATTTGTTTTTTATTCACAGAAAACCGTGTGTGCGTACAGCAATCGGATTCTCGTCGATTTGTTTTACCACTCCTTTAAATAATCCGTTCTCGATTGTCGCCGTCGGTACAATATGCTCGTACAAAACACAGTGCATAAACTGAATCAATGCGCCCCCTAGGTTGTAGGGTTGCCACGCTCGCACAGCTTTTAATATGTATAATACGATTCGGAAAAATCTGAAAAATTGCAATTAGGTTTCCGGCAAAACAAGAAAAAACATTTCCTAAAATAAGTTAATTATTTAATATTTTTGTGCCCCCCAGTTTCAGACGCCCAAGGCAAGTGTCTCGCTCGCCTCACCCTAGTCACGGCTCTGTTGAATACTACGTATACGCAGTGTATATTGTACAATTGTCTATACTAAAGTATAGACAATTGTACAATATACACGCATAGTGTTATGATCTTTGCGCAGAACGTTCATGCGGTTCAAAAAAATAACTCCTCCGTTTATATGTGTATTGGTAGGTACTCTGTTGCACAGTGTGTTATATGCCATCTTCTATCGATGCGACACTGCAAGGATAAATAGCGTACAAGAATATATATTTCGTGTATCGATAGCGGTTTTGCGATGCGCACGACCGACACGCCCATTATGAAATTAATATTTTTCCGTGCGAAAAAAATCGTGTTTCTCCGCGTCATCACATATAACAGCACAGGTATACACAGCGTTCGTTGGAATACAGCGTGATCGAAGTGTGCGCTAGGGGTAATGGTTGCTATCGGATCTCTTCGGCATCGATAGTTTTACCGTGCACCGTATATATTGTACGGCGCGGTGCGAGGATACGAACTTCTTATTATTGAAATGTGGACCTATTAGAAAAGAACGTTCATCCCAGGGCCGCGCGCACATTCGTCATCCATCGTCGTTTTCGTCGTCGTCTTCGTGGTATACCGCCGCGACGTGCACTCCCATCAGTCGCGACCCGCTTCTCATCCATCAAGCTGACGTCGGATTTCGTGATTTGCATTTGAAGTGAAGATAGACTGATGCGCGTGTATACGTACGCCGTACGCGTATAATAAATATTTTATGAATATATTACGTGTACGATACGTAAACGGGGCAGTACCCATCGATCTGCAGGCCGATATTGACAGCTTCTCCGCCGCCGCCGCCACCGTGTTATCTGTCCGACGTCGGTTATATTATCGTATACCCGTTCTATTTTACATAATTTCCATTTCGCTACCACTCCGCCAGTGGCCGCGGCGCAACGATCGCGTTACGCGTAAGGCTCGTATAAATGTACGCATATAATATTTATTAACCATTGTGTATTTAACGCCTTATGTGTACCTACCCTAAATGTACGAACCGGCTTTTTAACGCCCGTGTATTTTTATATTTTAATTTATACGCGTGTAGCCGATATATATGCATGTGGGTACATGATTGTGTTTGGTTATTATTCGTGAAAAACAAAAACAAGTACAAAACACTTAACAAACACCACATTTCTATTACTCGTGCAACGCACGCGCCCGTCATTTCATTCCTACGACACCGTACACGCAGCGTAATATGAACAGTGACAACGACCACCAGAGACACATTGGCACTCGTATTTTATAAAATATCCCATCGACTAAGTTCTCTCTCGTACTTTACACGCGCACACGCGTAACAGATGTACGTGTATGTGTACACGCGGTGGGTGCGCGTCGCGTTCGTTTTTAATGGGCCGTGACAGGCGTCGCGCCCGATCGACTCGATCAATTTCAATTACACAGCGTCGTAGTCGTCGTCGTCGTCGTCGTCGTGCCTAGCACCGCACAACGTGTTTTGTAATTTCCGAGGGAGTCGCTGCTGTACTTGGTTAGCGGTAGTACGAGTACGTGTGCAGTGTTATTACAAGGGGACACATTGCGACCGATGTATAATATAGTATATAAAACAGTGACGGGTGACGTTGTAAACGACGGAAGCACTTCACTTTTCGACCGTGTGCGCGTGCGTGCGTAAGGACTAAGGAGAGAGAGAGAGTTTGATGGGTAACGGGCGTGCGTTTAAGCTGCTGCTGCTGTGACATGTCCTTCGCGCCCGACGACCTTCACGGTTATCCTATATCTATGCGTGCGCGCGTGTAGGACCTTTGTGTCGTATACCAATTATCCGCGTGCGTATCGTGTAAGACGATAATAAACACATACTACGCGTACGATATTCGATTCCCGCGTTGCGGTTATACTCAATATTATATTCGATTTACCTTCGGGGATACAACAGAAATAGAAAGAGAGGAGAGAAGAGAGGTGTTGGCCGGGCGCGGCGGGCGGAGAGTGAATAACGTATACGAAATTGACATTATGACATCGTGTACGCACGTGGGTATGCCAATGACAGTAACAATTTTGAGTGGCCCCGGACGTTACATTATGATTAGAGGTACCGGTAGGCCTGTGGGCGGTTTTTTTTTCTCTCTACTGCTACGGGTTCAGTCTCCGGACCGGTTAGACGACGACGAAGACGACCGAAACAGCACTCGCGGTGGTACGCTCGCACGTATATTATTAGTAGGTATATATCGTGTGCGCGCGCGCGCGCGTTAGGACATCGATCGGCGAACGGGCGTAGTAGTGTTATTATGGAGATGAGATGCGCACTCGTATATATAAAAGGTACGTGACTGTCATCTCGGGGCTGATTACAGGGTGTCTGTCACTGAGGCCGCCGATTGCCTCTCGAATATAACTGCTGGGTAACATATATACGTATACGCGCGCGCGCGTGTGTGTATAGTAAAAATAAAAATGATGAAACACCTGCAACCAATTTTGTATAAATAATGTAATACCGTTTCTTTTGCCCGCGGTCTACGGTAGATCATTATCTTTTCGGCTGCGGCCACCACCGCCGCAGTCGAATCTCTTCTGTCGCCGCCAAAATACGACGACGCGTTACACCCCTTTTTTTCCCTTCGTATATAGCCTTCTCTTCGCTAAAAACCGATGCTGCCGCTAGACAATCAAGACACACCCATCTCCAAGTAATATTGTTACACGTACCGCGTCTAGTAATATAATAAATATAATCGATAAACATATTTTTACGACCGTGTGATGTCGGGGACGTTTGTTAATAACTACGTGTGTTGATGACCTAAAAAAAAAAAAATGCAAAAATTCCCTAAAAAAGTGCAAATAATTACCTTAAAAATGATCTAAAAATCTAATCAAGTGAAAAAAATGTATTTATAATAATAATTTTTATTAAAGATATGGGTGCAATAGTAGCTTAAAATATAAATTATAAATTATAATATTAATAAACAATAGTATATATTTACATTTTAAATATTATATAAAATTATTAACACTTGCTCTAAAATCTAAAATTTGAGAACAACGCCCCACATTGTACAAGAACTACAAAAATTACCTAAAAGATGAAAAAATAACTTAAAAATGTTGAAAAATACAAAATAAAATTAGAATATTCTGCATCGAGGGAGCATGAAACAAACTTTTAGCTAGGATAGCATTGTATAGAATCAAAGGATAAAAAATGTAAAATTCATTAACATCCCAACTTTAGTTATGAATGTGTATTCTTATATATGGCCATCCACTAGTGGTAACCCTGGTTCAGGAAGAAACGAATCGTGTGCACGGAAGACATAACATTGATGAAAACCGATTTCGCGTAATATGAAAAAATATATCTTTTATCGTTTTGCAATTATTCTTAGTCAACTCTCGGCACCTTTAAGGGCCCGTGGGTCTGTCTATAAATCGTGTGCACTGCTGCATCAGTGTATTACAATAAACTATTACGATGTGCGTACAAACAGTAACAATTATCGATCCGATGAGCTGTGCACCGAGAGAGCAGGAATATCAGTGCGAATTGACCATTTTATTGAAAAATAATTATTACATTAATGCGTCGTATTATATTGTAAATTTATGCGTAGAGTGCGCGTGATACGTCGCATTTAAACGTAATGATAATATATGTTACAATATTGCAGTAGTGCCGGGTCGTCCTGTAGGCTCGTGACGCGCCGTGTGTTCCGTACGGGAGACCCCTCTTCCGGCGTGGCGCGCACAGAAACCGAAGGGATTATAATTTACGCGTTACCCCTATCTCCCCCCCCCATCGTCCTTGTAATATTGCACACGCTTGTACAACGGCACATGATGGCCACCACCACAGCGTGTGCCGTTGGTATATATACATATACATATAAGCGCAAAAGGGTTCAGCATTAATTCCATCCGGTCCCCGTTGACAGGTCAATATCCCCTACCACGTCCCCCTCTACATACCCGTCGCTCGTGATATAGCCGTCCATCTTGCATCATTCCAGTTTAGCCTTCTCCGCTCACTCCTCTACGTACCGCCCATCCATCGTATCTCTGCCTCACTGCCGCCGACTCTCCTTTGTGCACGTCATCGGTTTACACTCGTCCGCGGCAAATATTATAATATACGTACGTACGTATACGTGTATATGCGTATACCTCTCTTTCCGCGCTCGCGCACACAACAATAACGGATATATAATATAGGTTGACCGACCGACCGACCGTCGGTCGGGGTGTGGTGGACGTGCAGAGCGAAAGGGAACGAGGCCGCGCCACAACCCTTCGTAGCGTATGGAAATTACATTTTGCGGTGTGTAGTATATACTCTAATACGCGCGCCAGCTAGTATGCATTATAGCAGTGGTGTGTTCACCGCAATTATATAAATCGTTGCGGAAATTCACGGCCATTTTATGTATAATATACGTATATGTTTATGTGCGGTACGTCGTATATTGTATTTCGGTGCTGTAAAGTGTATTACGTACGTGTGTTATCAAATCGGTCAAGACGGAATTGAATACATCGATTGGTTTCGTCGTGAAAAATAAATATTTCGGGCGTTTTGTTGTACCGCCGTGATTGATTATTTAGCACAATAGTTTCCCAATCTTTTAGTTCCCG